CCCCCCCCCCCCCCCCCCCCCCCCCACCCTCCCAACCCACTGAGCACCGAAATCGGGGCAGAACTGCGGTACTAGACAGCTGTTGGCAGCGCTGAATACCGAACGATACCCCAAAACAAGGGGATGACTAATTTCATCATCCCGTCTTGCGGTATCGATCAGTATCAGACGCTGTCAACAACTGTCTAGAACCGCCGCCGTGGCACGCACGCGGCGGATGGACACGAACGTCGAAGTCTGAAAGCAACCGTTGTGAGCATCCAATTGCCACTATTCATTTTTTCAAAGGTATAAGCGGCAGCTTGCTAGCATAAAGTTCGTGCTTAGAGAGCATTATTACAGGATTACGGGTCCGCAAGTACGACTACCCTACCATTTCTGCGCTCTAGCGCCTAGTGTTAGAGAAGGGATGTACCCCCTTTTCCCAACCACACTTCACCATATACATAAATAAATAAATATATATATAATATACATATACACGTGCATATATATGTAACAGGTGTGCAAAAGCTTTGCGTCATAAATTTGTCAGCGAAAAGACCCAAATTTCTGCATTTATAAGAAAACTAACGCTATTCTATAAGTAGTGACCGTTGTTGTCCACACCTTGCACCTTCGTTAATGTCTTTCGCGCTGAAACTCCGTACATTGGGCACGGGCGCTCCCCCAGCAACACTCTTCTGTCGGCAAGCCATTTGACAATTCTTCTTTTGTTTCGGAGCAAGTTTTAGCAATATCATGAGAACATGAAGAGCTTATTTATGTTGTTATGCTAGCGAGGGATGGTCCCCGTTGATTCAGCTCTACGGTAATTCATACGGTAATTGTCTGAAAAATTTAAGAGTCACGCTCACATAGAAGGCACTACCGTTTTCGAGGGACCTCAAATTTATCACCGCTAGGAAATCCTTCTAAGTTCAGCACAGGTATTGAATAGTAGTTCGAAATGAAATCGTTGCTCAAAATCCACTAAGTACTTCGCGAAGCGCACTTTGTGCACCTTCGCCAGGATCACATTTTATTTCACGCCGCATATCTTACACCGTTCATAGGAATTCGAATAGCGAAATTGATTTACACTCGTCTGTGTTTTCATATGTGTTCAGTCTCGACTTTTTGAATGTGGTTCTAGATGTGTCACCCCATTTCTCTGCGCTCCAATCCAGTTCGGCTTTTTATTCTCCAATCCTACCCGCCACTGCGCCCTTTGCGCCATTGCTTTACAGCGCACCGCAACTGAAGTCTATTCTGAAATCTCTGCCGCTTCCTCCGAGTCTTTGTAGATTCTGATTTTCGCTCACTTCTATCACAATTTCTTATTTCAGTATACTCTGCTCTTTAAGGGGAATTCCGAACTTGGCTGGGACTTGGAGATGTCTGCAATCTCGTCAAACTCAGGAGGAGATGGTAAGTCATTTAAATGGTGTACAAGATTTTTAACCTCTCTCTCCAGCATATTCCGTTCAAGGAAAATGTCAATTTAATTCCTTTCATATACGGGTCAAAAGTCGAACTTTCTTACATGGCGTGTAGTACTGATTTTGCCCAAGCTCGGTGATCCGTGATAGTACCTGAGCAGGAGCTATCGATTCCGTTTTATAGCCAGAAAATAGTGCTCAGAAATAGTGGTCATATTGCTCCCCTAAGACACTGTTCAGAATTGGAAAATCTACTATCAGAAATAAGTCAGGCACATGCTATTTAACGGATTTTCCCAATGAGTTCGTGCAGAATTCAGTCCCACGAGAATTCATGCAAAACTCAATCCTAGGGACTCTTGGCTTTGTAAAAATTTCTTTGAGATGAGGGTCAACTGCGTGGAAACGCGGCAAATTCATCGATTGTTTGATTCTCCACATCGTTGTATGTATCTTTTGCCAGGATCACGTTTAGCGATCGCTAGGTTCATATTTTCTTCGGTTTTTTCCAATGCATCTAAAGCATCTGAAACTACTTTCACGATATTCCAATTTTCCCATTCTCTATTACGGTGAAGATTTCCTCAAACGCCCTGCAGATGTGCTTTTCGTCTGCTTTCACTGAATAGTGTTTCCAAAGGAGCTGTCTGTAAGGAAAGAAACTTTGCTTGCTTGTTATGCAGTTATGGCTGTTAGATATGTTCCAATTTACTCCCTTATAATAACGAGTTTAAGGCGGTGCATCTCGCGATTCTGGACATAATCAACCTCCGAGACGGCTTTTCGACGGTAATGCATCAGACTCTGATGGTTCTTCCGACGGTATCTTTTTCTTCGAGATTTATAGGTTTCCCGATGTATTAATGGTATGAGCATTTTTTCCAATACAGAGGGATGCTGTATTGTTGAAATTCAATGCACTTGCACGCGATCGCGGTTTTCAGGCAAAAAGTCCCAGAGTAGAAAAAAGCTTCCTTCACCACTCCTAGCGTAGAATTCAAAAAACACCAGAGTCACTAATCAAAGTAAAACAATTTTGGCGGTATTCAGATCGTGTACTGTTAGATACTGAGAACACAAATCGAGGTGGATGTCTGAAACCAGATCGGGCACGTGACGATCAGCCAGGCTCGAGCAGAGGAAGAGCTCCGCAACAGGTACGATCACTTACATCATTCAATGTTTAGAACATATTTTATTTCTGCATTCTCATTTTTTGATCCACTCTGTGCATGGAATATTTGTACGAGCTCGATAAAAGAAAAGCCTCTTGTTCCTGTTACGTTTCACCTTTCCAAGTGGTCCCCTCCGTCCTGCTTGGGTAACCTGTTATCGGTGGACATGCTACGGCATGCATGCTTGAAGTTTTATGTTAGGAACGTTTAGGGTCATAGAAATGAGAGTAATTCTTTTGTGCTGCGCTTGGGGACGAACTTACATAATGCTTTTAGCCGTTCTTGGCTTGGCTAGGATATACTCGAGAAATTGCCGCTATGATCACCCTTTACATTAATCTTTTTGGGAGACTTTTTTCTGGTGACATCGTCCTATTTACGCTGTGCATGATATTTGCGTTTTATGAATGTTTGATATTTTGAACAGCTATTTCTGCAAAGGTTTTTTTTTGTATGATCATTTCTTATTCAGCTTTTATATTCATTTTCGCGTTTGAGTTGACACGTATTTGTAATTTATCAATTCGCGCGGTCAAAATTGTTGCCCTGGAAGAATAGACATGTGACCTCCATGCCGTTCAATAAGGGGTGAAGTCGAAACGCTGTGTCAAAATGTCGAGTTGTACTTTGGTCAACAGAGTGGTGCATTATTCGACATACCTACTAATTTGCTACGTGATCATTGAATTCGAAGTGATCATTCAGGCAATGAGAACGATAATTAGTGTATAATTTTCCTCAAAATTGTGTTTGCAAAAGTAGTCTTTTTAGTTTTAAGATAGTCAAATTCTGCAAGGGATAATGAGATTTGCACTCTATTTATTGACGTATTTCTGGCTAATTAGCCTTACCTGCTTGATTGTTACAATGGAACCGTGAAGTTCGTTGGTTGTCCATCTACGGGAAATAGTCTGTGGTAAGATGTTGAATAAAGGAAAGATTGATTGGTCGAAAATTGCAGCGCTTGTAAGATATCGGACTTAGGGGACGATGGTGAAGCGAGCGCAGTGTTGAGATATTGATTCATTTCTAACAAAAAAGTAGTTAGTGAGGCAGTTGAGGAGCAGTGCGTACCTTCCTCCTTTCGTGTTTTTTTTTTTTGCCCCTATTCAAACACTTGTCATCATTTCGGCACGGTAATAAAAGCCACCGCAAAGATCTTTTTGCTTTACAATGCCATTTCATTAGCTTCTATACCCTTCCGCTGCCTCTTATGCAGGGCTGCGCATAAGAAACGGCAGGAATTACAAGTGAGCAAATTTTAAGACCGAATGGCCGAGGTTGAGGTCGTACTCGAAAGCTTATATGTATCTCAGGTGTTGACTCAGGTGCCGAGGAACAGGTATGTTGTCGAGAACGGATATGCGAAGTGAGCTGAAATCGTTAGAAACTACAATAAAGCTATTTGAATGGGTAGGATTTGCACAAGAAATGTAAAAGAAGTTTGTCCATAAGATTAGCAATTGTAATCCGTTATATTTGAAACTTTTTGATGAACTTTTTCTCATTACATCTATCATTGATTCAAGGAAAACTGAGTGGATCGCCCAATTTCTTTTAATAAATCAGCTAAACTGCGTTGGAACAGCATTGAATATATTGTTCAAAGAACTTGTCCTATTTTTCTTCTGCGCTACACCCAGTGAGGAGCGCAATCATGAAAAAGATTAGTGCTTACGCGGAAAGTGGTTTTATTCTATTTTATTTTCTTATTTTAAATTACGTTCTCAGTTTTCAGAACTGTCAAACTTCCCTCTTGATATGGCTCAATCTGCGCAATGTTTACATGCGAATCACATCTTTATAATAGTGTCTCCTTAAGTTCTGAACTCAACCAAATCTAGTGGAGTCTAGGAAATGTCGTTGAGAGGAATGGAAGGCAGGCAGAGGAAAGTGGGTTACTATTATTGCGCATAAACTTTATTGCAGCGTTTTATGACCTTATGCTGGGTTGTTGGGCATTGTACCACTCTAACTTTTTGCAACACTTCATTATTTATACTCAAAAGTCACATTTTTCTCTAATTCTTGAAGAGGACCAACTTTATGATCAGAACACCTAACTTTGGTTATTCCTCCTGCTTTGACTTGTCTCTGATGTTTGAGAATACAAACCAGTTCAAGAGGTGAGGATTTTATTAGTTTACAGTTTTATGTCTGTCGATGTGGAATGCGAAATTTTTGGTAAAGTGCAGGAATGTTATAATTCACAGAATTAGAATGAGTGATGGTGTAAGAATGCGCGGAGGGTTTATGCGTTAGCTTTTTCCATGACCCTACGCCATCCTGTCGTTACTTTTTATAGGCCCTGCACGTTTAATGCCACCATTCGGGTGTTCGGTATTACCAGACCCTATTCTCTCGGAATTCGGTCCGACAACCTAACGGTGTAAGCTGTTAGTTGCAGGATTGTGTGAGGATTGATGATACGGGTACCTATCGATTCTTATCCGGAAGCCCCCCTTTTCAATCTTTGCGTCCTAGTTCGATAATAAACCGGGGGTGTGCTTGAAATTAAATGGAACTCAGGAGGTGGTTGAGAGAGCGAAAGTTCGGTATTAACAGCAAAGTAAATCTTGACTTTCATCTCTTCTCATTTGTACTACTTGAAGAGTTATCTCTATTCTCTCTTCCTATTAGATCTTCAATTGATTAAAATTTTTGAGCTCCTTCTAATAGTAATGTCACTAAATACATAACAAACAATCATTCTAATTTTTTCCCTTGATCCTGATCAGTTCAAGACCGGCTCCTATCCAGTGCGCTGTCAAGTATCATATAAGGTGTCGTGCAATTGCTAATCGTAACTTCTTTTTGCGATTTCTACTAGCTCTTCACTTCAAACCACCAACACGTATGTGAATTAGATGTCTGTGAAGTACCATATGTCCCCTTTTCGTTCCTCACCGCTTGCGGCCCTATCATCAATTTCTGTTGTTTTAAGCACCTTTGATCGCTGCAAATATTGAAGTTCTATATCTTCCACAACAGCAAGAATGTGTCGTGCCTTTGCAATAGTGTTGGTCATACGCAAGTATTCTTTGCTGGGAATTTAGGCCTTTCGCGTTTTTCCTATTCAAGCTATTTTGTTAGGCTTAATGCTATGTCTGGCGTTGGTCGTGCGATTTTAATTATTCTTGTTATATGTAACTGATTGTTACAGAAACCTATCTACGGCTGACTTGTGCACCGATGGCAGGGAGATCAAAAAGTGCAAGAAACTCAGGAAAAGGGGCTCCATTTTTTGAGGCCTAAAGCTGCTAATGGGATGAGAATTTCGAAATGCACCATCCTTGAATCTTATTGGCAATGATCTCTGGCTTAAATCAGATACCCATCCAGCCATATCATACCCCTATGAAGACCTCGCAGGGATTGTTCAAACACTGCTGCAGAGATGTGAAAAAATTGATAAAGTCGTGTCAAACTGGCGTTTCGCAACGAGATTTGAATGCAACATCGACTGCGCTAGTGATATGAAGGTCTGGGAAGTTGTCCAGAAGCGAAAATACATTACGAGAATCCAGTTTGTCCAGTGACGTCATGTTGGAATAAAATGCAATGTTCGCAGAACTTCACGGGCAACATATTTCATTCCACGACATAACCTCATTTCCATCGTAACCGCGTCGTATATACGACGCATCGAAAAAAGACCTGGGCAAGGACATGGGGCCGGGTTATGAAGTGTCTCCATATACGTTGCTTATTGGAAGTCATCCATCGTTGAAGCCCAACTTTGTCAATTTTTCATTCTGTTCTCCAGTGTTGAAGGAGGTACGACGTTCTGCGATTTTCTTCTGTTCTGCCTCTTACCGACGGATCTGTAATTAATCTGTTGTCATGAGGGGCAGAACACGTGGTCATCGGGAATGAGTGCTGTAGATAAGCAGGTTAATGTGCACATCCTCCTGTCGAGTTTTTCATCTGGTGTATGCAGCAGCGCGACCCTGATTTCAAGTGATTCTAGGAAGAAAACAAATCTGTTTCATTCAAAATTATTTTCGTACATGTCCCTCGAGCATTTTTACATTGCTTTTGCTTACTTAGTGTTTTTTCTCATTTTTTAAATTAAATTGGATGATTACGGTTAAGATGAACTGTGCTCACTTATCAAATCGTACCTTGTGGCCACTCTTATACATTGATCTATATGTTAGTGTCTGTTTAAAATATTTCGAATTTGAAAAAAAGCTGAGAAATACTTAAAGTGAGTAGAGATGGAACGAGTAGCTTCAACGCTCAAGCAAAAGGTATGCTGACTGACCGACTCGATTGACTGAATTTGTTAGACATTTTGCAGTACTGCGTACCAAAAATGTATAAAGCCTAGCTATAAACTTACATATGTTAAGGAGGACCACAGGCAAGGAGCTATGTCGAGTGTTTCTTCTTTTTGAAGTTATCTCCGGTGAAGATGTCTCTCAAATGAGAACATCAGACCACACTTGATAAAGCGTTCTAATTGCGAGCGCTAATATCATTCGAGCTCCTAAACCATGAGGAATTAAGACACCATCACCTGATCGGTACACTAATTATTGAGAGTTTTTACTGTATTTAAAAACTCTGAGCCTTTATCGCACCATTGCTAGAGCGTCTTCCGCTGTCTTTACCCATATGTTTCAATTTCTTGAAAGCTGATGTTTCTTCCTGTTTTGATACCTACAGTGTCCCACAGTCTAAGTGCTCTGTTTGCTTTTCCGTTTAGTCAGAAGATGATGAAGCGAGAGATCGGAGAAGTACAAAACTCTGTATACTTTGCGCTGTGCTGTCCAGGAGTAACTGTAAAAAACGGATCCAGCTTAACCCTGGCGCTTTGCGCAGATTTTGGTAGGTTAGGTGTCTATTCTTTTCGTCCCAGAGTAATGATTTAGGAGCGAAATGTAGTTTCGAATCGAAATTGTTTTCAGGGAGTTATATGGCCTTTTAACAGATGTATAGCAATGACTCCAGGGAGATGGAAGGCCCGGTTGGCCTGTGCGATCGTCGATTGTATTTGGTAATTGAAC